TCTAAAAATTGTAAATGAGTGAATAGTTTATTTAAGCTTAATTATTTGAAAGTTATTGAAGGTGAACTAAATAAATGAGTTTTATTCGAATGATTTTCAATTATTTATATTTATTATGTAGAAACTCTATGTTATACTCACTACTTATTTTACCAAGCCTCATATTATTATTATTATTATTATTATTATTATTATTATTATTATTATTATTATTATTATTATTATTATTATTATTATTATTATTATTATTATTATTATTATTATTATTATTATTATTATTATTATTATTATTATTATTATTATTATTATTATTATTATTATTATTATTATTATTATTATTATTATTATTATTATTATTATTATTATTATTATTATTATTATTATTATTATTATTATTATTATTATTATTAAACATAATATTATATTTTTTCTAGTTATTTTATATTAATTTATTATTATCAAATGTTAAAATTCAAAGTTAATTTGGCTTTGGGGTGTGAGTCAAGCCAATTGATAGGCTAGCTCAAGCTAGGCTCGATAAATGTGAGCTAAAAAGTAAAAAAGTCAAATTTGAGCTAATCTCGACTCAAGTTGTTAGTTCACCAGCAGACTCTTTCAAAAAATATTACTGTAAAATACACTTAAAATATATTAAAATTCAAGAGTTCAAGTATAAAGTTATTAAAAATATTTTAAAATTAAATCTCGCTTTCTTGTAAACCAGCACTTTCATGAGCCACCTTAAACTTGTAAAATTAAGCTCAAGCTCAATCTTAATTACATAATCAAGCTTAAGCTCAAGTTAGGAGTAACTCGAGTTAGTCTGATCAACTCGTTTACACCCTAACTTGGCTGTCAAGTCATTAAAGAGAAATACATTTCTCACTTTTATGAAACTTTTTTTTTAATCATATTAAAGAAACGTTTTAGCATGCTTTCAAAAGTGAGCTTTAGCCTTAAATCACTTTTAATTTCTTATCATATAAGTTATCTTCATATTTATTTTTTTAATAAAATAATAATTAGAAATATAAAACTAAAAGAAAGTTGATTATATTAGAATATCATTTTTCTTAACAATAAAAATAAGTTTAGTTTTAATATAATAATTGAAATATCAATTAAAAATTATCTTAATCAAGCACGAATCTCGAGGCAAAATTGAGTTGAAAGCTTCCAAAATTAAATATGATACCATCCAAATTCTCATTTCAGTAAACTTATAGTCGAACTGAACATCTCAAAAATATGAACCCAACGCACCAAATTCAACCCAATCCGAGCCCAAATGAGTCCTAATCAAAGACCCAAAGCGCATTTTGAAGGTTTAGACCATCATTTGAATTACCAAATGGTTTCTAAACGTGGCATGCCTTTAGTCGAATCGAACGGCTCAACGAGACAAATCCAACAAGCCTAAGATCACTGAATTCTGAAATCATTAAGGCATCCAATTGACCAATAAATGGCCCATGATCAAGGGATCGATATTGGTCATCCATTCAAACCACTCCCATTTTGATCTTGATCTTTCACATATTTACAAGCCATGACACTCTTTAAAAAAACTATAAATAACCCCCACTCTTCTCATGAGAGGGGAGGAGAAGAAGAAAAGGAAGTGAGGAATTTGGGAGCTCTCTTGTCATCGATCATCGTCGGAGTTCTTGCCGACCACCACCGGTTTTCCTCCTGACCACCACTGGAGTTCCTAACGACCATCACCGGGGTTCCTCCCGACCACAACTGGAGTTCATGCCGACCATCGCCGGGGTTCCTCCGGACCACAACTGGAGTTCATGCCGACCATCGTCGGGGTTCCTCAGGACCGCCACCGGAGTTCCTGCCAACCATCGGCCGGGGTTCCTCCCGACCGCGGCCGGAGTTCCTGCTGGCCATCGTCAGGGTTCCTCCCGACCGCCACCGGAGTTCCTACCAATCATCGGTTGGGGTTCCTTTCGATCACTGCCAGAGTTCTTGCCGACCACAGCCAAGGTTCCTCTCGACCACCGCCGGAGTTCTTGCCGACCATCGTCGGGATTCCTCCTAAACATCGCTGGAGTTCCTCCCGATCTCCGACGAAGTTTTTGCCAACGACCGTTGCCAAATTTCTTTCCAACTGTTGCCAGAATTTCTTCCCGACCGTCACCAAAGTTTCTTACCAATCATAGCTGGAGTTTCTCTTCCCGAAAAATGCTAGAGTTTTCTTCTAGATCGTCGCTGAAGTATTTCCCAACCACTGTCTTATTTCTATCGGTTCATCAACCATCACCAGATTTCTATTAGATTATTAACCTGTTGTAATGCCAACGTCTCCAAGTAAAGGAGCGAATCAAACTTTGTAACCAACTCATACATAGTGGAATTTTCTCATTCGGGCGAGGCCCTGTGGTTTTTTTTTCGCTTTTCAGGTTTCTCTAAGTAAAAAAAGTTTTTGATGTTTCTCTCCCTTAATTATCTGTTCGTGTGCTGGATATACGTACATTGCTAAGACATTATATTTTTATTCTATCGCCGCATATATTTTTGTCTGCAATAATAATAATAATAATAATAATAATAATAATAATAATTGAATGGTGAATTATTGAGCTTATACTATTGCTTGAAACTATATATAGTTTTGACACATAAACTAATGATATATATTTCTAAATATTTAAATGAGTTGAGGAGCTGAATTTCTTCCATGAAAAATGTTTATTGGTCAATTGAGGTTTTGCCTGAGATAGCTTTTAACTATTGCTTTCAAGAAATTTTAATGCTTAAAAGCTGCATCACAAAGCAGTAAGAAAGTTATACAAAATAAAGCCTTAGGCTTTGTTTGGGACGACTTTTTTTATTGATTCTTAAAGCAACTTTCTAGACAAAAAAATTGTTTTTAGAAATAGAAAGAAAGTCGTCCCAAACAAAGCCTAAATCTCACGTCTTTTGGTGAAATGACCCTTCTATTAGATCTATCGGAGGAAGCATGAGTGAGTGGATAATTGTTTTTTTTTTTTTTTTTTAATTTTTTCGATGCCTGTTACTGTAGGAAAATTGATATTTGAGTAGGAAACAATGCAATAACCATGAAATTATATAGTAGAGGTTCACTAAATATTGCTTCATTGATTTCCTCACATCACTATAAGAATATGATATTTGAAGATCATTTGGTTCCCAAAATAATGACATAAAGTCTTCAGTGCTTGAGTTAGGCTCTTTGGATTTGAATTCAAGTGAGTTTTTTTATTAAAGTTGTTTAAAAAAGTTAAATTTATATTTCTCATTGTTTTAAGTGATTTTTTTTAAATTCTTTTTATCATATTATTACAATTAATACTTGAATATGAATGATTTTCTTTTTTATTTTATAATAAATGAGTCATTGAGTCAAACTCATAATTAAGCTCGAGCTCGAAATCGATTAGTTAATCAAACCAAGCTTAAGCAATGATGGCCTTGCTTCAAGTTTGACTCCGCTCACTCATTTACACTCCTATTTGATAGTTTCTGCTTAAACTATGAAGTCATTAGTTAAAAGTCAGACATACACGAAAATATCAAAATGGTCCTCAATTTATTCGTATATGACCAATTTAGTCCGTGGATATTAGATCACCCTAATTTAGTCCTTTAGACTATATAACATTGATCCAATATAGTTTTTTTTTAAAAAAAACATTGATCTATCATTATGTTATAATTGTGATGTAAAATTAATCATAATTTAGTTATAAACTTTATAAAATTGATTATTTTGAATCAGTTTTGTATATTAATTGTTGGTGGATTATTTTTAAATTTAATCCTATATATGAATGTGTATGAATTTATGATTGATTTTTTTTAAAAATTGAAATTATATATTAAAAAAAACTCTATAGGAACCATTAATCTATTTTTAAGCTTTAATATAAATCAATTATTAATCACAAAGCTCAGTCCTTCCCTTCTTTTTTCTAACCCCTTTATCCAAAGTAGAATATTTATGTCCTCTTTTTCTTTCTCCTTTGTTTCCCCATCTTTTTCTCCACCACTCTCTCTCTGCTTTCACCTCCTCCCTCAGGCCAATGGCGTGAGTGTGGGCACGCTTCTTCAGTGACCACTTTCTTCCCCACCAACCTCTCTTTCTTTCTCTCTCTCTCTCTTTCTTTCTCTCTCTCTCTCCTACCTCCCTCGTCCACTCTCGAATTCTGAGCTTCTCTGACACCAGAATCAGAACCCTGATTTCGAATTTCCCTGTACCATGCCATGCCATGCATCATTCATCATCCTCCATCGCGAACCCCATCGTCATCATCACAGCCGCTCCCATGCTTTCATGCATGCTATGATCGAATCTCCATCAGCATCATTGCTCTTCTTTCTCTCTCATCTCTTCCTCAGTTTCGCTCCTGTTGATTTCTTTTGCCTCCCATATAACAAAAGCGCCGGTCTTGGAACCCATTCCGCTGTTAACACAATGGCTAGATCCCTTCATCCCACCGAACTTCTTGTCTTCTTCCTCCTCCTCTCCTCCGCAACGCTATCACTCTCCGCTGAGCCTCTCAACATGGAAGGTGGCTACTCTGTCTTTTACATTCGAACCTTTTCCCGTTTCTCTAAGAGGATTTTGTTCTTTGTTTGATTTGTCTCCAGTGCAAGCTCTTATAGCTGTAAGAGATCTCCTCAACGATCCCCATGGGACGTTAAGCAAATGGGATGAAACATCTGTCGATCCCTGCAGCTGGTCTATGATCACTTGCTCTTCAGAGAATCGCGTCATTGGCCTGTAAGCTCTCCCTTTCTCTCCCTCTCTCTCATCCAATTCAATCTCCACAATCCTTCTTCTTCCTCGTGCTGAAATGGCTAAGAATTGCAGGGGAGCGCCATGCCAGAGACTCTCCGGAACTCTATCTCCGGCGATTGGGAACCTCACGAATCTGCAGCAAATGTGAGAATTCCTCTTCAAATTTCTACAATGTGATTGGCGTTTCTTCTATTTGATTTGATTTTTCCGGCCGTTTAATGCAGATTGTTGCAGAACAACAATATAACTGGAGAGATCCCATCAGAGCTAGGGCATCTCCCAAGGCTTCAGACCATGGACCTCTCGAACAACCGTTTCTCTGGCAGCATACCAGATTCTTTTGGTCGCCTTACGAGCCTTCGCTATCTGTGAGCAATCCCTCATATTATTGTTTTCTTTAATCCTCGGAAACGCAAAAAGCAAGGAGACAAACATAGAACTACAACATTGGGCTTTGTTCTGCTTTAATCAAAATTTAACTCTGTATCTTTCTCTGCTCATTCCGCAGGAGACTCAACAACAACACCTTGACTGGAGCTTTTCCTTCATCTCTCTCAAAAGTCCCCCAGCTCTCCTTCCTGTAAATTTTCATAGCCTTCTCCTGCTTCGTTTACGCTCCTAAATTCTAATGTAGAAGATGACTTCAGTTTTTCATTTCAGGGATTTCTCTTACAACAATCTAAGCGGCCCAGTCCCTTTTTTCCCGGCTAGAACCTTCAAGTAAGGCCTTCTCCATTTCTGATACTTTTTTTCAAGCTTTCTTTTCCTTCCAATACCGATTTCTTGATTTCACAGCGTGGTCGGGAATCCACTAATATGCGGCGGTGCCCATTTTCCGGCTGATTGCTATGGGACGATGACACCAGTGTCTCTTCCGTTTCTTCTCGAATCAAATCACAGTAATTGCAGTCTTCTTCTTGCTCTGCTATCGCTCTTTCCCGATACAAACTTTAAGAAGATTGTATGTTCTTGCTCTGTTTTGCAAATATTATTGGTTTTAGTTTCTTGTTGCAGGAGAAATGAGGACGCAGAAACTCGCCATCGTTGTGGCCTCCTGCGGGGGTGTCGCCGTCGCTCTGATTCTCTTCGTTTCTCTAGCTCTTTTTGTCCGCCGGCGGAGCCGTCTAAGGCGGCGCTACCTCTTCAGTCTCAACGGTAATTGCTCCCTCACGTAACTGTCAAATTTTATGATACACCCCTAGTTGTGTCGGCTTTTAGGAAAATTTCCACCATGAATATTAGAAGTCCTCTATAAGATCAGAATTGATTGTTTTTTTTTAAAGATAAATTATTGCCTCAGTTTGCAATTTTTTTGCAGTATTTTCTAAAAATTATCATTTTCTCCAAATTGTCAAAATTTACAAATATCCAACTTTTATTCCCTTTTTTTGTCATAAATTTGAATATTTTATGTTAAAATAAAACCTTGCGATTTCTTGTTTAATAACATAGAAATCTTATCCATCCTTTCAACGTTATAATTATAATTTCATGCTGCTAAAACTGCCGCATCAATGCACAGAGATGGAGCAGAACGCCGCGGCGGAGGCGGCGGCGGCGGTGGGGATGGGGAACTTGCGGCGGTTCAGGCTACGGGAGCTCCAGGCGGCGACGGAGAACTTCAGCTCGAAGAACATACTGGGGAAAGGGGGATTCGGCAACGTGTACCGCGGACGCCTCGGCGACGGCACGGTGGTGGCCGTCAAGCGGCTGAGAGACGGTGGCGGTGCCACCGGCGAGGCGCAGTTCAGAACGGAGGTCGAAATGATAAGCCTGGCGGTGCATCGCAACCTCCTCCGCCTCATTGGATACTGCGCCGCCGCCGGCGAGCGGCTCCTTGTATATCCTTTTATGGCGAATGGCTCCGTCGCTGTCCGTCTTCGAGGTACGTATATTGTTCTTGCGGTGTACTTTAAGAGGGGTAGATAAAGAAGAGGCAAAACTGGCGCGCGTGGTGGATGTGGGGCTCACCGTAGCTCGGCAGTTGTTCAGGGTCTGAGATGCCTTCGTGGAGTGCGAGTGCGAGTGCTCATTTGTTCTTATCCTACCTACGTGGCTTTTGTCTTATTTATCCGTTAAATAAATAAATAAATAAATATATATATATATATATATATATTTGGGAAAAATATATATTTTTTAAATATGTATATATTTTGTTTTTTTAAGTGGCGTCACCACACGCCATCATTTTTTGTTATTTTTATATTATCAATAAAAAAATGAAAAGCATTTAAAATTAGGTATTAAAATATTGAAAAAATATTTTTGAAGCCATTTGGCTTTCAGTTTGAATAAATATGGAGTGAAGAGTGTTGAAGAAGATTAATTTAAAAAGATCAAAATCAATTAATTCAATGAGCATTTGGACCTCAAATTGGCTAATCAATCATATCCTTTAAATTTGGAAATAATATTCTATTTTAATTTTCTTACTATTTTTATCATTTAAGTTTCGTTTGTGACGACTTTCTTACTGCTTCATAAAGCATCTAAAAAATTGCTTTATGAAGCAGTAACAAAATCATCCCAAACGAAACCTAAATCGCAAAACCTTGAGCAGTTTCCAATTACATATTTGCATAAGGCCGGGTTGTAATAAAAAAAATAGTGGATTTCGATTATCAAGTTCTCTAGCATTCTATGTTTTTAGACTTACCTTTTGCTTTTTTGGTTGCTCGGTCTCCTTTGCATTCAAGATAAGGTTGTGTCATATGGTTGATGGCATTTGACAACCGGCATTATTTCTTTGTTGTAAGTTTAAACTCTCAACCAATAGATTAAAACGAGTTGCATGACTTATAATATCTATTATTACTTATCTCCTATTACCCACAATCAGCTAGCGCAAATGCCTGACTTCAAATACTATCATTTCAAATGGGTTAGCCCATATGACCTCTCACTTTCCATCAATCACACCATTTGATTTCTAACAACAATCGGCGTCCATCAACTATTGATCTTCAACCCTTGTTTGGCTACTTGTTGCCCATTGATGTTGGATTTTCAGGATTTCTTGTCGACCAATATCTAACCCTAGCAAATAGCGGAAGCTCGATGTTCATTAGTCATTGATGTTGAATACCCAATTTAAAGTCTTTTTTTTTTAAGAGAAATTTAAAGTCATTTGGGCATTGATGAAACCAATCACCCATCATTATCCAATGAAAATTCTAATAACTCAAAACTCCTATCATTATAAGAATTTTCTTTCACATTCAGGCTTTATTTGGGATAATTTTTATAATAATTTTTAAAATGATTTTATATTTAAATTTTAAATTTAAAAAATTTTTATACTAAAAAATAATTTTTAAAATTAAGAAGAAAAGCCGTCGCAAATAAAGGCTTTCCATTTATATAATTCTTTGCCTCTGTGCAATATATCGCACCTTTTTCTTTTTTCCTTTGCAGGCAAGCCGCCGCTTGATTGGACGGCTCGGAAACGCATCGCAGTCGGCGCCGCCCGCGGCCTCGCTTACCTTCACGAGCAATGCGATCCAAAGATCATTCACCGGGACGTGAAGGCCGCCAACGTGCTCCTCGACGACGCTCTCGAAGCCGTCGTCGGCGACTTCGGCCTTGCCAAATTGCTCGACCATTCTGACTCACACGTCACCACCGCCGTGCGCGGCACCGTCGGCCATATCGCGCCGGAGTACCTTTCTACTGGTCAGTCCTCCGACAAGACTGATGTCTTCGGATTCGGCATTCTTCTCCTGGATCTCATCTCCGGCCGCAGATCACTGGACTTCGCCGCCCGCTCTCCGCCGCCGCAGAAGACGTCTCTGCTTGACTGGGTATGTTAATTTAAAAAAAAAACGCAACTTTGGTTTTTAATTTAATCAATCAACTACCTTTAGAATCAATGTTTCAATTAATTTTTGACAAAAAAACTCACCTGTAGATTTATTGCATGTCCAGGTCAGGAAGGTCCAGCAGGAGAGGAGGCTGGACTTGCTGGTAGACCGAGACCTCGGCAACGGCTTTGATCGCATCGAGGCAATGGAGATGGTTCAGGTAGCCCTGCTGTGCACCCAACACCTCCCCGGCCACCGGCCAAAGATGTCGGAAGTCTTACGGATGCTCGAAGGCGACGGGTTAGCTGAAAAATGGGAGGCTTCTAATCGGCTGAAGCAGAATCCTGATGCAAAGGAAGGTGTTCAAGACCTGAGCAACTGCATGCTCTTTGTGGTGGATGGAGAAGATAACTATGGAGATATTGATGGCAAGTCCATGGATGATGTTGAAGAGATGGAACTTTCAGGTCCCAGGTAGCAACTAAGCTTCAGATTGCACATAGAAGAAGTACTATGATTACAAGATCTAAGCAGGCTCACTAACATAGATTGAAACCAGAATTGCCGCATGTTTGCTTTTCTTTGGATAATTATAAAAGGAATGCCTTTTACAAACAATACTTACATTTGAGAACATAGATTCAACATCGATGGAGCTTAAAATTTCCTATGGGACTGCTTCTGATTTTTAGTTAAAAAAATTTATAGAACTACAAATTTTTGTACTAAACAAATTGCTTTATAAAATAATAAAAAAGTTATTCCAAATGGAGCCTAATTATGAAGTAAGAAGAAGAGAGATGAAGGATGAGAGAACCAAGTGCTTGATTAGCAAATGACAGGATGTTCTCTTAAGATTCATAACAAGATGAAAAGAAATATGATTAGAAAAGAATTGCTTATAAAATAGCACATATATGATGCCTTTATTGCAAATTTCAATATGTTTCAATCTATTAAACTCATCACACATATTGTTTATCGTATTATAATCTTTGCATGGTCTTGCTATGCTCAACTCAATACTTTGCAAAAATTTCTCACTTTAATTGCTTTTCTTTATTTTATCAACATAATGAAGTGCAATAACTCATCCAATAAAATGGTAAATAACTCATTACATAGATTAATTATTATGTGCAGACGTCAAATGTCATCCGGAGACTAATCAGAATGCGCCATATCATCCCTTTGTTAGATACTGCTAACGTGATGCATTTTGATTGGTCTCTAGATAACGTTTTGCCTCCGGCTTCGGCACAGAATAATTTCTCCATTGTATTATTCTTTTTTTTTTTTCAATTCCTAAATATTCCTTTATTATCAAAGTTATCACCACCTACTTATTCTCCTTATATGAAGCTTATAAAGATAATAAAAGAAGCAATAACCTCGGTGTATATGATAATGGATAAATGAAATAAAATAAGAAAAAAGTTATGTAATGGTATATAAAAGATTATGCATATATTAATTGTGAAGGAAAGGCAAGGAATATACATGTTTTATTTTATATGTTTAACTGTTGTATATGGAATGTTTATTATGCATTAAATTTAATTGTAAACTTAAACAATAATACATGTTTTTCAGCCAAGTCTCCTGATAAGTAAAAATGACTAAAAGAGATGAATGTCTATAAAAGATAGCAATTAAATAAAAACAGGTAAGATATGATTTACGTAAATGTTAAGATGTGAAAATCGTATTAGTAGTTCAATCAAAATTTGTGTTTGTGGCTCTTAACTTTGATATATAATGTAGATGATCAATTGTGTTTGAAATTTAAAGAAATGTTATAAACGTCTAATTGTTCGTTCCCGTCTCGTTAGTTCGAGTCTCCGGGTCGGGTCATGACAGTGTTATATTTGATCATTCTCTAAATAAAAGAGGAGAACAATGACCATGAATATGAGCACAAACCTTTTCATGTTGATGTTGGGCATCAACATTAAGGTATCATCTTTAGGAGTCAATGCTAGTGTTTATGGTGAAGGCGAGGCGACAATCTTATCCATAACGATGAGCATTATGATTTACTTTAATGACAAACATAAATATTAATGAGAAATGACATGTGTCAGCATGGTTAAAGATGACAAATGATAATTTAATAGTAATTGACGGGGCAACATCAACATTGGTTTTGATGGTGGGTACTGATAAGTGTAAATATTGTTATATTTTATGTGTTAATTTGTCAATAAAAATATATTATTTTAGTTTTTGTGTGTAGGAAAATACATTAAATAAGAAAAATTTTAAATTATGGTACAACGCCGTAGCGTTGAACACAATAACACCGTAGCATCATCATTCTATAAGTTCAAGGAGTGTAGAGTGTGGGTCTCCGAAAGGATTCTGCTCGTGTGGTTCGAATGCAAAGAGTACGATCACACTTTCCCGAAGGAAAAAATGGTTGTAGGCTTTTACACTCGGCACAAGCAGGCCAATGGAAGAGCAGATGGAGTTATAGATATGATTAGCCATGGAGGATATCGGCTCTCACCTACCAACCTCGATGGATAATAATATCTATAACCCAAAAGTTCACGAGATTTCCCTCATTCGATACATCAGCTCGAATGAGGTTTATTTGATTGTGGGGATCGGTTTCCTATGGGAGCAAGCCCCCGTAGTTAATTACATCTTAGACCTTGGTCTAAGAAAACTCTCGATTAGGGATGTTAGATGATCTTCTCTAATGGGTTTAATGCAAAGGGAAAATTCTAGGCTTTCCTAATCAAAGGGGAAGAATGGCTCAATTAGGTTCAAATCAATCACACGTGGTTCATTCAACATTCGCCCGGCTCGAGGAAGTGGAAACTGAAGCAAAGAAAGAGACAACGCATCTCAGACATACACGAGAGAAAGAGAGAGGTGGCGTCATCTGTGTGATGCGGATGGATATGATTTATAGCTCCCGAAAGGATGGAGAGCTTACCCACCAATGAGGTGTATAGTGGTACACCTGTACCACTAGCCTTTAGACCCTAAATCTATAAAAGATGTAATATCGTACATACGATATTAACACCTACGACCTAGCTAATGCAATCTGGACTTATACCTTGCCTGAAAAAGGAAGACAGTTAAAATTCTAAGCACAACCAATCGTCCTATATGTATGCAAAATGGGAAGGCTCTATCCTAAGGAATCAAGGATTTGAAACTCGGTAATATGTAAAAGAGTATACCTAGCGCCATATATGATGCATGAAAAAATACAAAATACCCCTAGGTCTACTGATGTAATGCATGCATGTAAGTAAAGTGCACATTGAAGCAAAGTGTGTAAAAATAAATGCATGCATGACATCCAGAGTACAAAAAAAAAAAAAAGCAATCAAGCACACACGAGAAAAAAAAAAAAAAAAAACACAAGAGGTACCCTCCAGGCAAGATACCCGTACAGAAAACCATCCCAACGATGCTCACTTCGTGTGGGAAAACAACGATGCTCAATGACACAATGGGTGGCCTACTCTACAGGCCTAAATGATCCTAATAGTCTCTAAGGCTCACAGAAGGTGGGGGGTATCATACCCAAAACCAGAAAAGGCCAAAAATCCTAGCAATGCCCACTTCGTGCGGGAAAACAATGATGCCCAATGGCACAACTAGGTGGCCTACTCTACAGGCCTAAATGACCCTAATGGTCTCTGTTGACCTCGTTTTTTTTTTCGCTCGAAACCTTCGATCGGCTTAGTTAGACATCGTCGAGCACAATTCAAACTCGAATCGATCTGAATTGGTTTTAATTAGACTCGACCTTGTTCAATCAAGCCCGTGTTGTTTGTTTTGACCGCGACGAGCTAGATTTGATCCAAATAATTTTTGAGTTCAATTTTATTTGATTAAATTGATCGAGCCTAGCCCAATTCTAATCGAGCCGATTTGAGCCAAATTCGCATTTAAACCTAACTCAAATCAGCCTAATTTAATTCTATTAGGGCTCATTTGACTTTCTAAGCCGTTTGAATTTGATTCCTAAATCAAGAAATGCAACCAATGGCTCTGATTGCGTTAAAATATTCATTATGTCGTTGTCCCGTCCCTAGTCGCGTGATACACCTGTTTTAGAACGAGACAGACTCTCGTTAGCGGGATTTCAGCGGACAGGGGCTATTTTCGTGTTTGGAGCAAGAGCAGAATGTCGGAGAGACGTTGGAGAGGGCAGAGGCCTGTGGGCCTCCGAAGGAGCACCGCTCGCGGGGGTT